TGCATTCTAGTAGAGGTCTACTAACCCAATGTGTTAAAAGAATATTTTAACATAGCAGCAGTGATGCTTACAAGCAAAGTTTTATTTGTTGCTGTAGGCATCATGCTGTGTGTTTGCCAGTGTGTGCCTTCCTAGTGCTGGGAGTGACCACTGAAGTGTCTGTAACATGCACAGTGCATAACAGCACTGAATTTACACTCACTTCTCCATTCCCGGTCTAGCAATGTAAAGCTTTTAAATATCTGTAAATATGATCTGTGTCTATTTCATGCAAAAAAGACTAAAGAAATCTTTAGTCTAATTGGGAATCAGTATCAGAATTCCTCAGTTCACTGTGGCATGCATTTTCATTTCAATCTGGGCCAAAAAGTGCATATTTTTTGCTCCCGAAGCAAATATTCATAATTAGGTTATTCCCAGGTGGGCCTCACTATTACTAAGCTTTCGTGGTTATTAGATTCCATTTGGTAGTATGGATCTGATTTTGGAAATACTATTTCTCATTTTTAATTTGTTTATTCTGAATAGAAAGTAAAGTGATTTTCATTTCAGAATAAGCAGCAGTTGAGGTCTGTCTGTATTGATAGTTGTGCTCTACAGACAGTATTTTTATAAATATATTCTTGTGTAAGATGTGTAGTATATGAGAAAATGGGATTCTTAGCTTTTTATTGCACAAGATTAGCTTAAATGACTTCAGTGACTCAAAAGAATAGTTTTGATAGTCAGTGACCAGATTCAAATTAGTACCCAATAAAAAAAGTACATGTATTAATTTGTAGTCGAGCTAAAAGCTTAGTCTTCCAGTAGCAGAAGATGAAAATGCATTATGGAGATAAGCAGTCGACTTCCTTCAGCTAGATAAAATGTACTGAAAGGAAAGACAGAGAAGAATCTGTGTTATGTCAAAGACATTGTCTGGCTCTGTACCTCTTCTGGAGTTCAAGTACTTAGCTGTGATTAGAAGTAGTGTCAATGAAATATGAATGCATTGTAGCATTTCTGACCATATTATACTGTATCTACATGGTGTTTCAAGTAACCCTTCTTTATCTGAACCAGAAGTATGAAAGAAATTAATAAAATATATGAGGATAAGGAAAGAGCTTGTACTTGCCCTCTACATAATAGTAATATCCCTGGTACAGCGTGTACAGTAAGGTGACATTGTCATTAGGCTTTTTCTCTGTAAGTCATTTGCACTTCACAAACTGAGCGTTGTATCAAAGCTTAATGTATTTCTCACCTGACATGTTCTTACTTTGGGAGGAGTGATCTATTGCAGACATAACCAAAATGAGGTTATAAATACAGTGCTGATATTATTAATATTGACTTGATACTACTTATAGAACCCATCACCTAAGAATAAATGAAGAACTGACAAACCATAAGTAACATCAGAACATCCAGCCAGAGGGTGTGCTTTTCCTAATTAGTATGTGAAGTCAACAGCTGGACAAATCGTTAGTACGGCCAGATCACACGGTGAGTGACTGCCGGGGATGCAAGTGAGAAGCCAGGAATGCTGACTAGTCCTGAGATCTAGAGAGCACTTCCTAAGTCCAACCTGAAAAAAAAGAAAACACATTTCTTTCTTTGCTGTGTAAATCGTTGAAGTACTTTCAAAACTTCTCCTGCTTGGCTTTGCATAATAGAAGAGATGCAGTGCTTTGACAATATGGTCTTTCTCACCTATCTGAAATGAGGCATCAGTGAAGAATATGTTTGCAGAGATGTGAGATCTCCTAAACATCTTCAAGAGAAAAGGAGGTTTGATGAACATTGGCACAGAGAGCTTAGCTAGTGAATGCATAGATTTTTGTGCTGCTACTTCTCTTTCCCTCATAGCACTTCACAAACTTTAATGACTGAAACTTCTCAAAGAGTGAGAAGTTTCCTAACTTTATTGAACAGGGGGAAAAAGAGTTGGAGCTGACTGACTCCTCCATGACACAAATTAATCCCAGGGACCTTAGTCTCTGATCCAGCAGACACATAGGTAGGAGCCTTAATTTTTCAGATGAGCAGTCCTGTTGAACTGAAAATGAAATGCATGTGAACAAAATTAAACATGTACATGTTTAAAAGATTAATCCTAACTTTAACCATTAGCTTCTCTCCCCTCCCTCAAAAAAACCCCAAAAACCTAAGACAACTTTGAGAGGGTTTTATATCACTTAATTGGTCCATTTTATGGACTTGGATTTAATGTAGGTAGTATTTTGGTCTACAGGGATGTCACTCCTATTTTCTCTAAAGTGTTGACCATTTAATAGGTGTGAAGTTAGACTTCTGAAAGGCACAGTGTAATCTTTTAACCTTTAACTGGTTTAGCCTTTCAAGGAACCCACAGCAGTTCAAACTAGCTATGCTATTATCTAAAAACATTTGTTCTTCAAATATTAATGCTCTTCATAGAGTGTTATTTAATTATTTTTGGTATGTAGAGTAATAAATTACCTTGTAAATGGAAATCGAATGCAGGGATAGGTATCAAATGTTTACTGACTATTAACACCATGCTACACTCGGTGAAACATTTCTTATTATGTAGACTAATTTTCAAACCACATTTGTTTTAATGGATTAGACGTGTTAAAGATAGGTAGTTATTTTTGCTGAGCATGAGCTACTTGAGATAAGTAATTCAGCAACTTTTATTGAAGCATCATTTTGTGTTTGAGCTGAAAAAAGAAAATCCTGCTAACATTTTTTCCATTAACTCAATCTGATGTTCAAGTAGTAATTCCATAGGAATTCACTTGACACATGAATTAAGTACTGATAAGAATCCATTCCTAGAAGGAAGTAACTATTGAACAAAGGCACAATATGTAAAGCTTCTCTTTTTTTAAGTGGGAACTGACCACTTTTTGGGTTTTTTTGCTTTGTGAAGTCATTAAAGATTTTTGATAATTAAAAAGGTTTAATTATTTACTTGGTTTGCCAGATCAGAAATGCTAAGTTCAATTTTAGTTTTGCATGAGGAATTAAGGGAGAGCTCAGGACTATGAATTATGAACCCTAGAAACCTAATACCAGTGGTGAGTGTGGTGAACCTTGAGTGGCTACGGAGTCATTCTAATTTTTATTTGGTTATTAGAGTTTTTTAAGTTGTTACAAAATTCAACAAAATGTTAGTAGTTTTAAACAATCTGATTCAAAGTCATTTCTTCTCCTAACTCCCCTCTTTTATTGCATGTTGTGTTGTCAGTTCTTCAGTGCAAGACTTTCAAGCTTTAGACTTGCTAATCTAAAGCCTAGCCAAAAACAACCCTTCCAGACTATTTTAACCAAAAAAGGCACAAAAGAGTAATTTCTAACATATGAAAGTATCCAAATTGCAACTAAGAGAAAAATAAATTCACCAACTACTTGTTCTTTAAAGTCCTAATTTAGGACTAATTTAGTCTAACCTTAGAGATACATGTACCATGTATGTAGATATTCAAGATTTCCAAAGCAGTTGCAGATCTCATTAACATACAGTTTCCAAAATAGTGGACAGACCCTGTGTTCTGCACTGTGATTTAGACTGTCAGGTAACATACGCTGGTAGATCTGGAAATGACGTGCCAGTTTTGCAGGATTGTGTCAATCCCAATGCCAGCAGCTTAAAAGAGAAATTCTTTTTCAAATGAATTCAGAATGTTTAAATGAATGAAGAGTACCATTGCTGTGTTTGAGTGCTGACCCCCAGATTGTTTTCAGAGGATCAGTATTTTTCTTGTTCAGAGAATGTTAAGAGCAAAAGTTTCTTTCAGTGTCATGTGGACACTGGGTTTGCTCTGCTCTTACGAAATTATTACCAGTGATTAAGTGTTCTTGGTTTTTGTATTTTCCATCGTGCCTCCTTACAAGTTGTGTAATATATAGTTTAGCAAAATTCTGAAGACTGTTTAGAGTTACTGGCCTTCTGTAAAGCAAAGAGCTCAACACTGGAGTTGATGCAAACAAGCATTTAGCATCTGAAAGAAGTGTTAACACTTTATTTACATTTAAATTAAAATAGACACTTATTTATGTGTTCTGGTTCTGAAAGGTGTGTGGTACATCTGCAGAGGCCTATTGTTTATTCATGCTGTAAATCCTTTGAAATGTGTTAAAATGCTTCCCACTCATTATAAAAATCCTGCCACCCATGGATTAGGGCTTTGATGTCACCAATCCTGCTTCAAAGAGTTCTTTCAATGCTATTAATCACAGTTTAGCCTCTGAAGATATAGCCAGAGAAAACATTTGGACATCTTGTGCTAGACTTGCTAAAACTTTGAAATATACAGAGTGTCTTGCATATGCACAGTTCCCTATCACTTCCTCTCTCTTCTCCTAGCCTTTATTTTGAAAAGCTATTTTATGATGACTTCGGCTTTCTACAAGTACAGAAGAAAAAGTTTAGGACATGTCATACTGTACATTTTAAAAAAGGCATGGTCTTTCAGTTGACGCTACAAAATATTTTTACCTGAGAAATTGAGTCAGTCTTTAAAAACCCCAAGGGATAATAACGTCAGGAATTATATGTCAAAAGGTCAAAAATGGATACATTTCTTATCATTTTCTCATCTCTCTCATTAGTTCATTTATTTAAGATACTGTCTAAACACTTGAGGATCCACATGATTTCAGAGAAACAAGATTGTTTCTGCAGTCTTTTTGCTCTTTGGAATCTCTCAAGGAGTCCCAGAGAAATTGATTACTAGTGATTGAGCTGTATGCCTTTGTGCTGTCGTTGTTTTCATCAGCTCGGTAGCTAAGGTCAGTGACATATCACCTTATCACTGACTTTTTTCTCCCTTCTAAATCAACACTGCACTCTGTCTTGCCCATGCTGAATGCTCTGCAGGCACAACTGGTAATGAGCGGGGTGTGGAAGAAGTTTGGTGATGTCTGCTATTTTTAGTACTATTGTACAAACTGATTTTACACCGTACAAATTTTTCCGTGCTAAGCTTCTTGAATAGTTTTTGCAGTATGAATTTCTTTGTTTTTAACAGGTAATTTGGCACAAGCAAGAGCCAGAGTGACAGCAGCATCTAGGTCTTTGCCTCCTCAGCTCAGTGCTGGGCGTATCAAGGTTAGTAGTGTTCCCTTTGAAGACAGGCAATTGTTCATAAAATATTACAGTGAGACTATATACACAATGCTTAGCTGATGTAGGTATATAGGGAGGTTCTTAACAAATAAGAGTCTGCCTTACTATCAGTAACATGCAGCTTGTCTAGGAGCATGGTTTCTAGTTTTAGGGATGACCCTATTGTAGAATCCAGTGAAGAATCAATTAAATCATTAAACTTCTGGAGTGGAATCTCAATTACATCAATAGCAATATTCCTCTTTATTTCAGTGGGGTAAAGGTTTTCCTATGGCAATTTTTACCTAGAATGAGATTTTATTAGGTAAAATAGTGTATTTAACAGTAGGAAAGACAAAACAAAATAAAGATTATATCTATTTCTCTTTTATTCAACTTGCAAGTATAAATCCAGGGGTCGTTTGTGACTGATAGATAAACAGAAAAGAATGACTCAGCAAAACCACTGTTCTTTAAAAAGAACTGTAAAATTTAATGGCTGCTGAATTTTGACATGAAATTATGTGACATAACTGCAAAAAGATGGCATATTTTTATGGCAATTGGTAGGATGCCAACTGAGTATACTTAATTTGTGAGGAAACCTCTTGTGCCTGATAGCTGATAGCATGTACACCCCCTCTCCATTTCCTAAGTAGTACTGTTAGAGTTAGCTCAGTTAAGGTTTGGGGTTGGGATTTTTTTTTTTCCTTCAAAGCAAACAGTAATAAATTTTAAAAACAAATGTGGTAACAGCAACTGTTCAAAAGTTACAAAATTTTGTGTTCTGGGTTTTCTATTTGTTCTCATTCTCTCCTGGTATTTGGAGCTCACGCTCAAATGTCAATAAAGTGATTCATGTCATCCAGACATCTATATCCTTCATTGTACCTGCAGATACAGATATGGATTTGAGACTATTATTTCCTGTCTGGTATAAACACTTTCAGTGCTGAAGGATGGCCTTTCGAATTTTGTTGTGTTATACACACATTGTCTTCCACATCCAGCTATATTCAGCACAAGGCTTTCTAAGCATGCATTTTATTGATACAACGGGAATGTAATAGAGCAGTTCACCTTTAAAGCTTTAATAAACATAATCAGTTAGTAAGTAGTGTTTAAGTGGGTTTTACTCAGCCTTCAAACTTTTTAAAAGGAGCTAAAGGGCATGCATGTGGGCAACACTATTCAGAAAATATTAATTAAAATACTTTTTAGCTGTAAAAATAATTTATTAGAATTTCATAAAGTACCTAATTAAAACAACCTCAGGAAACTTATTTAAAATTATTATTTTAAATTTTATCTTAAAAAAGTCCAAATACAATAATTTTGTTTGGAAGTTTGGAAAAGTTCATTCATTATTGAATTTAAGAGGTCTTTTGCTTAACATATTTTTTGGTTTCACAGTATTTCATGCCATGCCAACTGCAGGTGTGGTCAATATGTGAAAGTAATAATTTCCAGTAACTTCATAAGGTGACATGATGTCATAAATCATTCTTTTTATATTGTTTCAAAACTATTAGAAGCAATTTTTTTAGTGATGAAACTGAAGTTTGGCTTTTGTAGGTCAGGCTGTTTTCCATTTCAGTTGTAATCTTATAAATTTATATTGTAAGTCACTACAGCTGTCATGTAAAAATGTGACTTAATAGTTGAAATATTCTTCTTTTAATTTCAAAAGAGTAGCTAGTGATTTAAAATACAAGATTATATCATGACATTCATTATGTTCTGTCATTTTTACCAAGCCAGTTGTGATAAAGCCTATTGTCTGTGGTGCATGCGATTATTGCCCTACCATAAAAACGGCATGGCTTCCCAGGCAAGAAATGTTGTAAATTAACCAGAGACAAAACTTCTAAAAATTTTTACAAGAAAGTCTCTCTACCTTCAGGGTCTATCAGAATCTTTCAAATGTTTTTTGTCAAAAAGATTTGGAAATTGATCCTAGTCCTTACATGTTGCAGAGATCTGAATTTACAACTTCATTCATAGAAAAAGGAATCTAACAATACTGCTTTTACCCTGATTTTCTGAGAAAAAGTGTTCTAAATTTCCTCTGTGAGTGTTTCTGACCATCTGTCTTTCTATGTGTTCCCTCCCTTCCCCCCCAAAGAAAACCCTCCAAAACGAAACAAAACTCTTTTTAACCCAGCAACCTGTAGTAAACCATGTTTGATAGTGGCAGTCTCAAAGATGGTAAAATTGTACAGGTTTGGTGAAAATAAACGGCTGTGAAAAGGACATGCTTACAGTGTGCTATTGTCCAAAAGGTAGAGCATAAGCTGATCCTTTTTTGGACAGCAGATGTTCCAGATATGACTGAGATGTTGTGAGTGCTCAGCCTTCAACAACAATATCATCAGGTCTGTACTTTTCTAGACAGAGAAGAATCCTATATAGAAACTCAAATTCATTGGCCTTTGGCCTCAAATCAGTTCTCAAACTATTTGCTTTAGTTCTTGATTTGATATCATTTATGATTGTGTGTCTTTTAACATTAAATGTTACCAGTTATTCTGAACTTACTGTCGATGTTCACTGTTATAGCTTTTGTCTTCTACCTGACCTTTACTGGAGATTTAGATATCAATTCTCAAAAAGCAGTTGTCTTGCTAAGATAGTCTTGAAACATTCCTGTATCCTTCCCCATGCACATGCCTGCTGTTTTGATTAGGTTATTGATATTTACTTTGTCATGTGACCTCCTAAGATGTTTGATGTTATCTGGGCTGATAAAGCATTTTTCCTGGGATATATTACAGTGTTCTGTTAACATCCTTCAAACTGAAATCAAACTGCATCTTTTTGGTTTTTTTTCTTCTTCTTCTTCTCATGTGTTAGTTTGAGATGGGTACCAGTGCATGTACACTACTCTGGGCTGGAACATCACAGATTACAAAAACATATTGAAATTTTTATGGTCACCCTTATTGAAATCTGTCTTCATTTGCGCGATCATTATTCTGAATCTTGTCCTCACTAGTTTTCTTTTGATTTCTTCCCCAACACAAAATCCGTTTTTTTGATCTATTACTACTTAGTGCTTCATTTCCTTTATATTTTGCATGCAGTCTCCTAAATATCTCCTGAAGGTAAGAGACACAGTTACTTTATTGAGAACTGTAATCTTTCAGCAATTACTGTTAGTGTTCAGAAGAGTGTTCTTAAGTCAGTGAGTGTTGGAAATGATCGTATGGAGCAAAGTCCAGGAAGTGTAGCACAGGTGCTGACAACAGCATTATCTGGTTTATACAAATGCCACCTGGTCAGAGCAGATGGTAAACTGCCACAAAGCAAGTGAATGCTAAAATGTTGTTAATGCTCCATGCAAACAGGATGCTGGTTAATTTTCTTTAATTTTGTTGAGCTGTAATACAGCAACACAATCTGCTTGTTATTGGTAACCATAGTTATACTCATTCATAAATTCTGGTTTCATTTTGATAAGAACAGCTGTACTAACAATATAACTAAAATATACGAGGAGCAATATGTTCACTGTCCATATATACCCTCTAAAAGTAACTTCTGCAATGCTGAAAAAGTGGTGTTTTGAAGCTACAGCAGTTCAGCAGAATAAGATTGCTGAGATTCTTGGCATCAAAACGGCAATTTAAAGTAATTAATAGTAAGCATAGCAGTAGAACAGAACAGACCTGTATGTTCTGAGATTACCTACTTTGTTTGCCACTTGTTATCCAACAACATATTTTCCATACATGAGCAAGGTGAGGCAGCTCAATTTACTTCCTGGTCATTACAAATGTGATAACTCTTCTTGTATGTAAGACCTATTGAAGTTCACATTAGTGGCAATAAGAGGAATGCTTTTTAGAAATCAGTTCCTTTGGTATTGCACCTTGACAAATGCTTCATTGCCTCAGTGTTATACTACCATAAATCTAGAGTGCTCTTGCACTATCAAAAAAAATTCAGAATGCTTACAGATGTCTCTGAAATCAGTGTGTGTCCTGCATCTGTTAGAAGCTGGCCTTCCTATCTCTGATAAAGTACTCTGAAATACTCACACCCAAAGGTATGACTGTAACAAAAACTGCACCAAGCTTTCATGAGCAAGGTGGTGTGGGTCTACAGTGCTTCTGGAACAGTTCTAACACCAGAGTTTTGTCTTCCAGGTTGACACAATGGAGGTTATGCGGCATCCTGAGGAAACAACTAACATGAAGCGGCAAACTATGGCTTCCTATTTTAGGGTACAAAAGTTCCATTGAAAATAAGCATTTGGATGATAGAAAAAATAGATATACCTAAAATATTTGTGGGATTATTAGATCAAAGAGAATAATAAGACAATTTTTTTATTCTGTTATGAGGCCTTTGTAGACTCATAAATTTTCTTTTACTTCTTTTCTCTTTGTTTTCTTATACTTGTATTTTTATAATTTTACTGAGTATGATGATAACAGAATCTAGAGCCTAGACTACTTCCATCTAAAATGCTACAGGCCTAGAACAGACCTCATTATAAACAGAACACCCAATTTGTGCAAATAAAATGGCTGTTATTACTTAAGACTTGTATTTTTTCACAAACTTAGGCATACATACCTCTAAAGATTAAGATTTGTCATTTGTGCTAATAAGTAAAAACAGTCCATCTTTCAGAAGTGTTGCTATAAATCATATGGATTGTCATTTTATCAGCAGTAATCCTGTCTGAGGTAATGTATATTCTGTATATGAGTTTAAATCAAACAGGCAAGAAAAGGCATGGAGAATGTTGGAACTGGAAGCTTAGAAGTCAAGAAAGTGCCAGTCCAAGACTGTTGGTTAATGTTATTTTTTTCTTGTAGTCACTGCAGAATGGAAAAGTTTTGAGCAGTTGGCCCTTGGACTGCGCTTCTACCATGCAGAATAGGGAAGTACTCAGTGCTGTGCTAGCCAGAGTGGGCCAAAGCTTCATGCTGTGTAGGAATACCTGTTCTATTTTTCCTGTAAAACAGTGTAAGGAAGGGCATAGAGTAAGCTGCTGTATGCTGAGATGTTGCCCCAGCGTGGAATATACAAGAGCACGTGGACTTGCACAGAACCCCACAAATGTCAGCTGTGTAGGAACTACAAAAAAAAGAAAAGTGGAATATGGGAGTGAGTGTGAAAGTACACCATAATATACATGCCACCTGCACCAAGGTGACCACAATAAGCTTGGAATTGTACGTGATTTTAAGACACATATGGATATGTGAGATTGGGTATAGTTGTAATGAATACTTATCATACAGCCGGTTAATGAGGTGAGTATGGAGCAGGAGTGTCAGAGTCATTGGAAAAACAGATATATAAGATCTGATCAAACTTTTTTCATTTTACAGTGAATTGCAATGGAATAAATTGTTTTCCATGTCCAGGGTGGATAGGAAAAGAAGTAATGGACCTATGTTTCAGTGGGGAGATTTATGGTAGATGTTAAGAACATTATGAATAGTCATGGTAATGTAGCACTTCAGCAGATTTCTAGAGAGATTGTGCATTTTATATTTTCAATGATTCTGAAAAATGAGTGTAACAGAGATGTGCCTGAAATGTTACATATACATCTAGTGTTTTCTGTGGGCAGAGCACTGAACTGATGACTTCTTGCAACCCTTTCCCCATGATTTGCTGTGAATTTCAGTGATTGATTTTTTTCACAGTAAAGCTTGTTCTTCTGTTGGGGATATTTGATCAGTCAAATGTGTCTACAGTAGAACTATAGTTAGAACAATTTTCAATTTTTTATTTTTTTTTTAATATGGGCCTTCAACTACAGAAATGTGGTATAAGGAGCTATGAATAGAAAGGTGTAATAAGTAAGAAATAAGAATTAGAATAATTTTATTTTTTTTACAACTGAAAAGTTTTAATAGGTTCCAAGGTTCAACTGCAAGCCTAAAAATTAATAAAAAGGCAATGCTGATTAACATTACAGATTAAAATATAATCAGGCATTACATAGCGTTTACAAATATATACCTTCTGCCTAAGTAGTCACATTGCGGTTCTCTGTCAAAAGTGTGCATCTTTTTTATTCTTCTCACTAGTATTCCCTCATGGATCTTTTATCTAAAATGGTTGTTGGACAGCCTCACTTTATCCGGTGCATTAAACCTAATGATGATCGAGAAGCACTGATGTTTTCTCACGAGAGAGTTCTGTTGCAGCTACGATACACTGGAATTCTGGAAACTGTCAAAATACGTCAAAAAGGGTATTCTCATCGCATCCTCTTTGAAGAGTTTGTAAAAAGGTAAGACTTCTATAATAGGGCTGTTTTAAAACTCCATTCTGTAAGGTATGTTCTATATTTAAGTACAAAAAGTTCTACAAACATGGTTTGTATGTGTATGGTCTGAATTTCTAATGAGAGCAGGGACTATCAGAGATAAAGACTACAAGAGCTATGGGATCTCTAATGAAGAATAGCCAGTGTGAAAGCAGTGGTGAACACCAGTATTCAGTAGCAAACCTGTCCCCATGATTCCCTCAGTAGAGGCAACCGGTAGAAATTATGGATCCTGCTCAGATAATTTTGGGATTTTGACCTTCAGCCATCATATGAAGAATGTACCCATGCTTAAGAGTGAATTGATATAAAAGCTTTAGATAGCTTTTACACCCTCATAGTCATTTGTCTTGGAGATATCATGACTTATAATCAGATCTCTGTTCTCGTGAACCTTTGTCATAACTGCTATTACTGGTTTTAATACATATTCTCAATCTCAAAAAGTTATAAAATTAATTCAGGAAATGCTATTCTCTTTACAATGGCAATATGTTTACATGATCATTATAGTTTCCTCTAGATTTAAAATATCGTTTCACGTAGTATTTACAGTTTTCCAGTGTGTGGGATTGATAATTCAACAATGATCAGAAGCAATCACAGTAGGAATGAGAAATGAATGGCTAAATGAAGCATTTTCTGATATTTCCTGAACTGGAGGTTGCTCATCCAGACAATATAGAATTAATTAATCTACTGAAAGCAATTAATTCATATGATGCTAGAGGGAAGGAGATGATTATGACAAAGAAGACACATAAACAGGCCTTTCTAAAATCCAGAGACAAAGTAGATTTATGTGTGTAAATCAGTAACTTGGGCTTGGAAATCTGCGGTCAGTGCATTTAGAGATCTTGAATGATAAACCAAAGCTTAATCAAATATTTCTGAAAAAATAATAATTTTTTCTTTTTTGTAATATATTAGTACACCAAATTAATATGTGATAGGAAAACACTACAGATGATATATTGCAGGAAGGATAACTAATATGTTTATTTGTCTATCAAGCCAATTTTATTTTCGGACGTGATCTCCCCCAACTTTTTTGTGTTACGTGACTAATTTTAGTATAGTCACACCATTCTAAAGCATGTTTAACAGATTTATTTTTCTGATTATTGGCATATCTTTGCAACATCCTGAAGAGGATGAAGGCAGAATTATTAACCTTAACTTTTATTCAATTTACACATAAGTGAACTGAGATTAACTCCACAGAGATTAGTGTTAATTGAGACAAAATTAAGCCTCCTCTTATAAACAGATCCTTTTCATTCAGAAGTCTGCTGAATTTGAGTACAACCTAGAAAAGCAGCATTAACTGTAACTTTCCATTCCTGCAGATAAGGAAGGGCAAGTTGTGTTTAACATCTTGTCAATTACTCCTGAAGTTTTTCGTCCGACTGGATGTGATTCTTTCAGGAAAGTCAACTTGAAAAGGGAAGGGGGGGTACATTTATCAATTTGCACAACAGCATAGAAGACTTCCTGAGTTCAGAATATAAACGGGGGCGGGAGAGGGGATGTTCTTTCTGCTTTGTTCATCTCATACTTGATTTTTAAATGAATTCTATTCTGTTTTGCTCTTGAAAATAAAAACAAACAATACTTTAAAAAGCTATAAATGGAACAAGAAACATTTTTCTTCAGCTTACAGCCATGACTAGTCAAGTGTTTTTAGGAACTAAGTAGTTGAATACATAAAATGTTTGAGAAAACAGGTCAAATGCTAAACAGATTGGCACTTCTTTGTTCATAATCAAAAAGACATTAGGCAAGTATGAAGAAGAGTTTCAAAATGTCAGTAAATGTGAGGATATCAAAGATTTTCTAAGGCAGCAAGTTAATTGGTATTTTGATCCTTTTGAGCAACTGAACAACAAAATGGATGAGCCAGCATTTTTTCTCCCTTGATGTTATTAAACAAATAGGTGCGCTTCTTATCTGCCTGTTCAATAATGCTGTTTTGTAAACTCTTAGCAGGAAATATGAGGACAAAACAATCAAAGGCAGGGAACAGACCCATTCAGGGTTTATCAGGTGGGAGGTAAACAAAAGATAAAACTCTGTCTGATGTTAGTCTTTACTGTCTTCTGTTTTCATGTAGAACAGATTATTTCAGTATTGCAAACCTGGATGTAGTTTATTGGGTTAAAAAACAGATGGTGAAGAAAGGGCTTAATTGTAACTCATTCACACAGTGTTTCTTCAGCCAAGTATATAACCATCTGTTTTATGTATATAAATATACATATTCTTTTTACTTAAAGTAGGAAAATGCAATCTGCAGCCCCTGTAAACACTGTATCCCTGTCAAGTCTTAGACACTTTGTCTCTGTTGGCCCCGTCTTGCACCCCATGACATCATGGGTCTGTCTTATGTTTGCTGTGAAGCAACATAGCCCCTTTTTCAGACTGGAATCCCAGGTTTCAGATACACATTGTTACCTAGATCAGGCCACCAGATGAGCCTGGTATGTGGGGTCGCATGGTGACTGTGCACTGCACAACAGCGAAGGGAGGTGTGCTTTCACGTGGGGACCTGTGCTGAAGGTCCCACTGGATGGAACCCTCCTTGCTGAGTGCCCAGGCCCCTGGAGCTTCACATGATGTGATGTACATGTGTGTCCTCACCACATATCCTCCAGCTGTATACTCCTTATATATAATGTGGCATCTACTGGACAATGGCTTGGAAGATAAGGGACTTGGTAGGCTAATGGTGCTAGATGCATTTCAAGAATTAAGTGCCTCATAAGCACATAGCAATGTGTTGAGACTATTGCACAAGTTTCATTTAAGGATTGTCTTTTTTCTTCCCTGCCTTTTTATGTTATGCATTAAAATTTTTTGTACTGCATTAGAATGCTGGATACACTTTTCCTATAAGCATTACCTACTCCACAGTAGTCGGATGATGTTCCTCAGATCATACACTCATAGCAATACTAGTGCTGTTGCTGTTAACAGTGATCCCAGGGAGGCTGGTTCTGCTTTTTCAATCTCACAGTGCAAATTTGCATCAAGTCACCATTAGTACACCTAGTATACACAGTCTCTAAACCACCAGTGTTACATTTCTCATGATAATATAAAGCCTCAATGACCTTAATGAGTCACATTTTGTATCGAGTGGAGGTAGGAATAAAAACTGGTCAAACATTGCAAAATCCTGTAAAACATATAACCTCAGAAAGTGCTTTCTTCTAGCACCAGAAGTTCAGTGGTGATAGACTTGCTTATTATGCAAAATCAGGGAAGAACCAAATTAGATTAGAACTCAATAGATTTGCTGCAGAGAAGGAATGCTTTCTTTTTAAATGATGCCTTTTTAATGCAAGCTTACTTTTAGCACTGAGCCTGCACCATACCAAAGTTCGCAAGTGATTTCTGGAAAGAAAATTTTAACATTCCCCTGTATCTTGATTTTACTATTATCCACGGAAGTGTTTATTTGTTTCAGTGGCTTTAAGATTTCCCCAGATCTGTACAATGTTACTGTACATGTTAAATATGGTAAACTACTGCACCTTCCATATACACTTCCTGGACTCTTCTCATTTACAGAACACTGGTTGCTGTGCAAAACAGTTGCAGAATGAAGAAGATAGGAAAACTTTAGAAGTGGAAAGTTGCATAACCACTTATGAATAGTATATGCACAATGGACCAAATTATATCTTTTTGAGAGTATTTCTGTGATTCTGTGCTTATCTGATGCTTGGCAGTATAAGTGTTTTATATCTGTTACTGAATTTCAAGAGTGTCTTAAATGTTTTACCATTTTTATTTACATTTTTTCATTCATACTCAATATAGAGTCAAATGTAATTATTTGTGTGAATTCAGATTTGAAAGTTTCTGAAAGAGGTGAGATACAACTAATACAGGTTAGAAATTTTTGAAAGTTATTTTATGGCTCTTTAGTTCTAAATAATTGGATTTTTTTAAACTTTCCAGCTCCAGGGCTGATAAGGAACAAACGTTTTTATAATACTGAGAATCTTCCTACTATTGCTGGTGGTCTGGCTAGAAAGGGATTTTGCCCCCTTGCACTTCATGCTTTTGACATATTCATTCTCCACCTCAGACTAGTATATTTTAGTACAAAAATTTGTTTTAAAGAGAAAAAGAGTTAATCATTACTGGTTTGAGTTAATTATATAGAATTGATGCAGCCTTTAAGTCTGGAATACAGAGGAGCTTTAGTAAAAGACTCTGGTATAGTAGTTAATGGTGCTGTTTAAATGCTATTTATTGAACAGTTCCACAGTTCACCCTTTGAAGAGTGGTGAGAAATTGAACCATTTGTTTACAAACAGTTTATCTAAAACCACCAACACTGAAATGCTTTGGCCCTAAACAGATAGTTAATGCATAGCATCATTCTGAAGTTTTCCATATCTTAGCACACTTGGATGTTTTTGGCATTTAACCTTAATTCTGCATGTCCTAGTTTTGCAATTGTTGGTCTGAGGATAAATTCCACTTTTAAAAAATGTTGGTGCATTCTTAATGACTAGTAAGTACAGTTAATCCCATTTTAATGTATGTTTTTTCTGAAATACTATTCATGTAGGATAGTGTGTAGTGCAGAACTAGAACCACTAGTTAAGAAATACAGAATTCCAGAGTTTCATCAGGTTTGAGAAATCAGTTCTTCAGAGGGGAAATTACTTTTCTCTTACTTAGTCTTAACTGCTGCTGTGATTAGTCAAGTACTTTTAGGAAACACGTAGGTAAGTGTGTGTAATATGTAGGAAATTTTCAAGCAGGATGTATAACCCAGGAAAATAATATATTTTTGCACAAATATGTGTATGTTTATGAAATAGAACATGATGGACCATAAACTTTATATTTAAAAATAGAAATGAAAGTATTGGTTTAACTTAGAAGAACACTGAAATATTCCTGACTACTGTGTTTTGTGCTGAAATAACAAATGCAAATATGGAAATAAAAAAATAGAGTTGTGAAATTTTCATCTCATCTGAAAGCAAATGTGATTTTTAGCTCTACTTTTCTGAAATTAGGTTTCTGGTTTCTTGGTGATATGTTGCAAGTAGAGGTCACTCTGTGATCTCTGCACAGCAGATTTACATAAGTATGACAGAGATGAAATTAGGCCAATAAATCAAAATGAACAGTTGTAGTTGCATGTATCCCAAAGTTTTGGGTGTATTCCTAGACGTTTTCTCTACCATTTCACCACGTCCAATATTTGCATGCTTTTGCCAGATACATTAAGATGAAACATTTTACCTTCCTCCAAAATTTTCCATAGGATCCATTGCTGTACAAAAATTTTAAATTAAATAAAACAGTTGGGTGACCTGTGTGGCACATGCTGTGCTGCCATACAGTTCTCCTGAGCACATCAAGTCAAACTACTTGGGCATCTGTAGTTATGTGATTCAGTCATGAAAACAGGCACCAGATAGAAAACAAAGTGTTTGCTTTAAAAAAAACCTAAAAACATGGATTTGAGCTTTGGAACACAAATCTAGAGACCTTTTATGGTGCAGAATACATACTCGAAAAGTAGTTCTGGAGGAGAAATAATAAAAAATAAATTGCTGGTCCCTATTTCTAATGAGTGCAGTGATTTCTACCTTATTTTTGATGACATAATTGAAAAGAAACAGGAAGTATATTAACCAGTTACAGGTGTCTTCTGTGCAGTATATGGATCAATGAAAACATTTGGAAATCACCATTTAGAGGAAGTTTTTAATAAATATTGGGAGACAATGTTTACGTACTGTGAACTGTGAAATAGAAACTGTAGTTATTCCCATGGTTTGGAAAGTTCTTGTCATTTTTAATAGCTTTCTTTCTTAGACTGTAGATAAATTTTCTGGAAACATTTGTTAAAACATTAAGTAATAAGAAAAAGTACCATTGTTGTTTTTTTTTTCTGAGTATCAAAAGCAAATACATTCTAGATCATGAAAGAGAGCTGATGGAGAGGTTACTACATTTGAAAGATAGTGAAGTTTGTCACAAACGAAATTGTATAGTCAGGCAGTTAAATTACACAGCTCAAAAATACTTTTTACTCAGATTTGTCGCAAATAAGAAGTCAACTTTGCAGCAATAAGAATGTCATTAATAAGATAGGTAAAAAAATTATGAGATCCCCCTTGAATATTTTATTGAATCATTGCTATTTAAAAACTGTTCTATGGTTTTAAAATTCCTAACTACAACATAACTTAAAAGGTGCTTGATCACCAGAAAATTGATATTGTCACTCACTTGAATCTATCCTTCCTTACTTTCCTTTTTTCCTTCCTGCCTGTCTGCCTGCCTGCCTCCCTCCCTCCCTCCCAAGCTGCTTAAGTTACATACATGTGTAAATAACATGGCTATCTGAACTGGCTTTTGAAGAAAACAGCAATTTATTATTAGTGTAACTTCCCCCATGTATCTGTCTGCTATCTGTTGAAATGATATGCTGTCACAAATTGTTTGTGTTACATATATTTTAAATCCGAGTTTCATTAGTGCAACTCATAATGGCGTTTGTCTTGTGAAAACTGGCATCATTAAGTTTGGTAATAAGGTGGAGGAAAAGTATTTTTTTCTTTTAAATACACCATGTTTCTCCATTCTTGCTGAATAGCATGACTCTTGGTATTTTGAAAGACATGGCTAAAGAATTTGCATCATCACGTTGTTAAGAAAGTCACTGCATTAAAAATAACTCAGTAATACATAATCTCCTATCATTATTCAGAGTCATCAGTGTCTCCAGTTGGTGAATATCTATGTCTTTGGTCCAGGACTTATTCCAGTGCTTCTGACTTCAGATGTCATTTTGTTCCCCTTTGATCTTTATTGACTATTTTAGTGGTTCTTTTTTCTTTCTTGTGACAACTGGAGCTAATATCTGGAGATTAACTGGAGCTAATATTTGAAAATCATATTCTCCTGATTAAAAAAAAGGTCTTGTACAATTCCAAGTTTTGTAATTGCTTCTCCATGTTTTCTTCAGTAAGGTGGGATATTTTCTTGAATCTGTCTTTGAGGTTTGCTGATGAGATTCTTCTCTTCATGTTTTAAAGAACATCTGATGGCTCTTCCCTGTGCTAATAATTAGTAGAATGGTTTGTTCACCCTACTGGTTCCTCTCAATCACAGTGTACATAGAGCAGCACCTGTAGAAGTATAACTTAATACCAAGACAACACATGGCAGTTAATAAATGAGAGCTGAGGTGGCATTTGCTACCATCTAACAGTGTACTTGTGTTAAAAAAGCCTTAAATTTGAAAACTAACTGGCACATGTTCTTGCTGTTACTTAACGTAATTGTTTGCAAGTGGGGTTACTTAAATGCTATAAAACCATTCTCCTTAATGCATAATGGCTTTACAGGGAGGGATTGGTTCTTAAGTCAGTTGAAACATGTTTGCATCCTTTTTTTATTAACTATATGTTGTTTCACGTAATTGTTGGGTGCTATTCTTTGCAAGGGACAAATAAAAGTCAATGTTGTTTAGTATGGGTCTGCACCAGGCCTCTAAAACTGATCATAATCATTCAAATTAATTGTTTATCATAATCATGTATATGCTCAAATATCTGTTCATGACAGTTGTGTCGTAATTTAAGAGGAGAACTTAGTATAAGGGAGAATTTGGCCTGTTAGTTCTAAAGATACAGCTCTGAGCTAGAGAAAAACAATGAAAGTACATGTTGATTGTTAATTCAATTTTTTCTTTGCCGCTTGGTTTTGCAGGTATTATTACCTTGCGTTCAAGGCACACGAGGCTCCCCTTGGTAGCAGAGAAAACTGTCTTGCCATTTTGGAGAAATCTAAGCTAGACAACTGGATTCTTGGGAAGACCAAGGTAGAGGGTGCTAAGATTTTCTCAGTAATAGGATCCTTTTAGCAAAACATGTCTACTTTGAAAAGTACTGCGTGAGTGAACAAAAGAGCAAGGAATTTGCTCTTAGCCTCCCAGGTTACGGAGGTGCCCTGAGTTAGTGCTGCCAGAGGAGGGGTGCATTGTGTGCCTCCCCAAAGAACATTCTGCACGTGGCTGCCTTGATAAGGACAGTACGTCTGTCAGTGCCTCCTGTTGTAGTGCCTTCCTGAAGTTCCTCATGCTCTTATTAAAGACATGACTGAAACTTCACACTCTGGCCCATCCTGCAAGCCTGGTTGCTACCTTATCCATTTGTGGAGTTTCAGGTAAGCTCCTTCTGGCTCCATCAAAAACCTTTGTTCATGGTTTAAAACAGAGTGAATTACTTCGGTAAAAAGGATATTGCATAGTATTTTGAGTTGGTTTACAGTGCACAAAGGAAAAACAAGGAGAATTTTCCTGGCCAAGACCCAGATAAAATGTATAGAAGCACCCACAGGATTTGTCTCCTGAAGCAGAGTGCTTTTAGACAATATTATGTCCAAAACCAGATTCAACTCAGGATTTCTCGTCCCTGGCTATATTTCAAAATTGTTGATATCTGAAAATATCCCCCTGGCCAATTTACTTTGTTAGGGGGGTAAATATGGGGTTTATTTTGCAATGGGGTGATTACAATCAGTGGAATAATGAAATTGCACAAGCACACCAAGAGCAAATAATTGATTCACAAGATTGCTATGATATCTATAGTCAGTATTTTGCTAGTTTTTTCAGCAATGATGCCCTAGAATAAGCTGCTATTGGACTAATGAAAAGACAGAATACAAGAGATTACATTACTGTCTGCTTGTAATACTGATTTTTTTGTTTTGTTGTTGTTCCATTCCAGGTTTTTTTAAAGTATTACCATATAGAGCAGTTAAATTTGTTCCTTCGAGAAGTTATAGGGAGAGTGGTGGTCATGCAAGCCTATGTCAAGGGATGGCTCGGAGCAAGGAGGTACAAGAAAGTCAAAGATAAAAGAGAAAACAGTGCTCTTACTATACAGTCAGGTAAATGTACACATTCCCTATTTCACTGAGTGTCCTTGCATTTTAATCAGTTAAATTGCATGTATATTGTTTATTCATCCATTATAGTTTATTATGAAATGAAAATGACCAGAGATGCTTTCTCTCCAGCTAACTGATAAATATTATTGATTTACTTCTAAGGTGTCATCTTAGTGTTTGGTAATGTCTTTATTTAAATATGTTAGTATTTTGGATGGGATACCTGTGCACAAAATGAAAGTATTGTTAGCTATGTCTGTCCTAGCATGCAGCACATAATTGAAATGCAGTAGCGCATGCCCTGCCCGTATACCAGAATTCCAGACATACATCGTAAGATGGACCGCAGAGGCTGATTACCAGTACTTTAGCAGGCTTCCTTGTAGTGAATTTGGGGAACTGTGTGAGCAGGGATGATCATACACCTTTGTGTTTTGGTTAGGACATCAGTGAGCACATGGTGACAATTAAAATTTGGAAGAGTGAAGTGGTGTTTGAAGTTGTGTGGATGTGAATATTGCAGTCATGAACCCAGAGTTCAACATGTGGGTGGGTGTGGAAGAGGTATTGGGGGTAGAGGCTGGAGTAGTTATGGCAGGAGGAATGAAAGTTACAGCACATCTCTGACTTTGTAGCACTTCCTTAAATAAATGTAATTTCCAGCACATGGTTTTGTATTTTTAGCCTGGAGAGGATATGAAGCTCGCAGGAAGTACAAGGAAATAAGGAACAGAAGAACTGATGCTGCTATACATATTCAAGCAGGTAATTAAAACAGTATTTCAATTGCCAACACCTATTTTTCTGTGGGTGATTTTGTGTGTCATGTTTATAGCCAAAAAAAAATAAATACAGTCCAAACAAAAGCTATCAAAAACGTTACTTCTCATCATTTGTTCTTCAGTGTCAAATGACATCTGTATCAGGCACTTTGGCCTTTTTGAAGTGCTTCTCTGGAAGCAAAACGTACTAATTAAAAGCTGTTGAGTTAATTCTCTAAGATTCTTCTGAGCACAGTCAGTGTGATCCCACTACATGTAGAGCTGGTATGAAACACTGTATTGATTTGTCTAAACGTGTGGATGGGAGGCACTGGACATGGATTTCTCTGTCTTTGTATGGAGCCCTGATCTTGGCAGATTGCCAGGTTTTTGTTTTGACTGCTTGCTGGGTTTGCCAGCTTTGACCAATCTTTTGACATTCTGCCAGACTCCTATGCAGCCATATCAATATGAATTTGAATAAACTTTAAAGAGATTACTGGAGAAACAGGCCCATAGGGCTGTGTAGGTCTCTAGTAGACAGCAGAGTACCATATGGCACAGAAATCTAAGAACCAATGCTGTGAACTCAATGGTGTTTTCAGATGCTGCCAGTATGAAGCAGCCTCCATATGATGCAGTGTAATACACTTTCCTTATGCAACTGCAGGTTGAAAGACTGTAACTGATAAAAAATTAGTTGTAACAAACATGTTTACAAATAAACCAAGATACCACCTCTGTTCAACCAGCTTTCTGTACTACAATTCCTTAAGCTTTGTCACCTGTTTATTGTGTATCTTATAGTCTGAAGGCAGTATGAAGAAGATGTGTTCTAATATTCTTTTTCTTTGTTCTCAAACCATTCCCAGTAAATTCATTTGGGTTTTTGTTGTCTAAGTTTGCTGCTCTGAAATTAGACATTGCTGTGACTTTCAGCAGAAAGCAGAATACCATTCTAGTTACAGAATGGAACAGAATATCATTAGGATCAAATAATAATTTGCAGCTTTGCATGAATACTGTTACATTGAATCACGAAGCTCTAGGATTAAATGCAGAATATTCTATTAAATAGCAAACTGTCAGGGAGAAATTTTTTCTCCCATTACAATAAACACTGAAGGACTGCACAAGTACTCTCTCCCATTCTTCCTCTCCTTTGTGTTGTCATTTTCAGTTATTTTTATGATAGCACAGAAAATAGATCTTAAAGTACCCCCTGCCACTATTTTCCAGAGTATTTGCTAGATTTACAAGTGTATATGTACCTGGACTTTGATTACCTAACTTACAACAGCCTTTTGTTGAAAGAAGGAAAGCGAAACTGTTAACCCATCACTGTCCCCCTATGATCAGCTCCTTAAAGTGAGAGTTATCTCAGGTGCAATAGGAAGCTGGTGTGTAGCAGTATCACTTGGAGACTGCAGGGGACATTCTGCCTTACAGTTTTATCTAGACAGATTGCTAGCTCTGTAGAGAAAGTGATCTATTCTGCTCTTAGCACACATGGGAGAGATTCTGAGCTGTATTGCTTCCTGTCATCTCTTAGATGCTGTGTTAAACATGGCAGAGCAGAGACAGTGGGAGTGAATCTGGACATTGTTGAGCCCTCTAGACCTAATGCTGGAGTAACGTTGTTAGCATTCTTCCCACTAACACACACAGTATCTTCCTTTGTAACCTGGCACTTAACTGTTTCAGTGATCAGTCTGGGTGAATAAGCATTAGGACTGTAGGGTTAAGAGTGACATGGTGCACCTTTGTATTAATTAGGCTGGCTGCTCCTCCTGTCTTTGGCTCTCTAGTAGAAGGGGTATGATAATAATAATAATCCTCAACTCATTTATATCTGCCTTTGGAAACCTATACCTAGGAATTCTTATTTGAAAATATTTCTTGTGCACATTTTCTCTTCTTAGTGTGCTGCTTTTTCCATGTTTCAAATCAAAACTTATACTTGCTAATCATGGCCAATTTCCAGGTTTTAAAACATGTGGACAGTCCTTGTGTTGTTTATGTTACGTTACACTGTCCACGTGCCTAGTGACACAGAGACAAAAGCATCCCTGACTCTCTTCCTTCCCTGCACATCTTCTAACGTGAGTGTAGTTCAAGGCAGCTTTCTAGTAAAATGGAGTATGATCACCTTTGTAATTTTTTTAAATGAGCCATTTCAGGCAGTGAGATGAATTGTTTGCATTTGTGATCCAGACATTAGCAAAACCATATAATTAAACTATATGTACTTCCCTCTCCTTTCCCTCCCCCCTGCCCCTCTCAAGCAGGCCTTGGAATTTAGGAAGCATTTGGCTTACATGTTTCTACAGAACAGCGCATATTGAAATTTGTTTTCCTTTCATCTCTTTCCCAATAAAGGCAGCCGCTCAGCTTATCCCTTTAGCTTCCTCAGAACTTCCTTTCAGAATTCCCGATCTATTACAGCACATTCACATACCAGAAACAAGATGCCTTTTCATGCTGTCAACCTTTTTCATCTGAAATGTAAATTAATTCTTGCTGGTACGCTTTGACAGAGATCAAAGTAGGGGTATTAACCTTATTGGGCCTTCTCCTCATCAGAATCAGTTCCAAAGACTGCAAGGGTAGTGTTAGGAGGCCAGTCTTCACTGTTATCTATGGCCCTCCTCCAGGCAGTCCTCTGTCTACAAGTCAGCATTTCAAAGGCGCTGATTTCTTTTGTAAATGACCTTATCATTACCTTAAACTGTGTGAAAAATGATTTGCCTGAATAATTCTTGCAGGATTATCCTGCTCATTTTAATTGTGGGGGGACTTCATTCAGGTTCCAGGATATTGTTTAAGTGGTTTTGACAGCAAGTGATCATAGCCTGATATAAAGGAGGAACAGAGCTCCTGATTGGAAACCTCTTGACTTGTTCAGATTGTTCATTTCTTGCAAGTCAGTCTTTGAGGTAGGCTGCATTTGCATTTTAAAAATAAACAGATGCCTTTCAAATACATGAGCTGGTGGTCTGGAGATCTCTGTGGGCCCAGCAGTTCACTATCCATTGAAGAAATGTTGGAAGAAAAAACAAACTTAGAAAGAAAACAACCTGCACAATATACATGAGGATACAATTCCTGAGTGTATTATATTACAGGAAAAAAAGTCATTATTTCAGATGGGGGAAAACACCCTCGCTAGGAAACAAAGTATTTGTGAATTTAAATTAAGTGGGGAAAAAAAAACTACCCTACTTCAGCATATCTACATCTCAGTTCTCAGAATACACAGAGTACACAAGGTCTTTCCTCCTACTTCCAGTCACACTTTCTCAAACTGTGAAGGCTAGAAAATGCTAAGTTTTAACTTGGAGAGGAATTGTAAAGAATGATTTTGTGCAACTTGTTTGAATTGACAGTACTTTGCACTTCCGAGTATTTCTTTGTAATTAGGATTTATATTGTTTTGATTTACATCTACATAAAAGGAAAAATATATTGTCAAAGATTTTTTTTTTAAATTATTTTGCCAGATTCACAGCTGGTTTAAATCAGTTCATATCCACTGAATCATGTGACTGAAATGTTGCTTCATTGATTTACCTCATATGCAAGTCTCATTTAATGTTTTTTTGTTTTAGAATAATGCATTAATTAAAATTTAAAACGACAGATAACACAATTCTGAAAATATATTTTGTGTTTATGATAGCACGTATTTCCATGCAGTGTGACTTGTCCCGAAAGACTTATGGGAGGATTTTAATCTGGTTATTTCATTTGTGAACCAACATTGCCAAAATGCCAAATGAGTGGTGCATGCAATTCACTTAGATCTGAGGTGACATCACTGAATTCATTTTAATTAGGCCCACTTTAGCCATCTGGAATATACTGTGCAGCTCTGGTCAGGGCTGAGTTTAACTATGCTTCCAGAGGTGAAAGGCAAATGACTAATCCATTGAGCCACCATCTCCTCCTCCAACACGTGCTCACACACTCACCATATGTCATATTGCATTAGAAAATTCTTTATCAAGAACTCAAGAATTGGGCTCTTTTTCTTAAATAAAAAAGTAGGGGATGTTCAGAAGGAAGCATCACTTTGTAAGTGGTTTTCTTTCTGCAACTTCTACCTGTGCAGTGTTGCTCACTGTTTACATATCTAACATGTGCTTCTGACAAAATTTACTCCATTATAATAAAAAAAAGAGGGACAGAGAACAACTGTAATTTACTATTTTACAGCTATAATAAATGTAAGCTTTTAGTAAAAGTGTTACCTTTGGGATTTTCAGCAGCAAAGATATAATGTTTGCTTCAGTAGAAGACAAGGAAGTATTTCTTGAAAGTATCTTTATCCCTATATTTATCCATCTATTTTTATCACTGTGTACATTTGTGTGTACACATTCTCAGCTAATACCATTGTCTAGATCTAAGAAGTACATGAGTAAAACGTTCCAAAAACTTCTAAGCACCTTATTTCTAAAAATATTTTAAAAAATTCCTGAAAATAACAATGCCTAAGTAGCAGATCCGGTTTATTTTTTTTATGTAATTAGTTTAGTTCCTTTTAACTACATTTTTAGTGTAAAAAACATTGAAGAGATATATATGTTTCTCCTAATGGCAGCTGAACTGGTTTATTGTATTACCTTGATTTCACAGTCAGGGTAAACCAGATTAGTTTTGTACAGGCTGCACAGCTTTGGTTAACTTTACTCTTCCATCTCACTGTGTTCTGTACTAGCTTAGGCCGTCCAGTAATTCTTCATGTTTAGTATCTGTCTCTAGTAACCATTAAAGGCCTGATGCTCATGTGCAGGGACCATTTTTGGAAAAGTGAGAAGGCCTTGTAGTTTTAAAGTAAGAGGTTCTATATTCTATCTCCTTCTCTGAGCTAAGCTCTGTCAATGTGCAAATGTTTTAGGTTTTATTTGCTATTTTTTAAGGAGAAAAAATGGAGACAATTCTTACTGGATTTTATGCAAAAATCAGGATGGGACAATGTACAGTGTACATTGTCCAACAGTATCTCATAAAACCTCTTCCTTGCTGATATTGACAGTTTCACATTACTCTTCACTTTTTTTTATTTGACCAAGTCTCAAGATCAGAGACTGTGATGCATGTTAGTTAAAAGCTCTATGTCCAAGTGTTGATGTGCATCAGTGACACCAGTCCTGATGGCAGCCTTGGTGAGTCTTTGTAATAGTCACTGCTTATTAGTGACAGTTACTGCTTGTACATGAGAACTCATGACTTCTTTTCTCATAGTGCTTCTGCTGGAGAACTTAATACAAGAGTCGGTTTTTCTTCTGCAATTAAGCAGGCATCACACTGTGTCCATCCAGAGTGAGAGGTGCAAGAGAAAATGTATTCATGGGACCCAGCAAAAGATGTGACTCTCCATCCCTTTTACTATTCATTAGAATTGATTTGGCATGGAGTGAATGATCAGATTCATGGACTCTAATTCTCTCAGATGCTGTTAGTTAAGCTGCTGAATGCTCTTTTAACTAGACAAATTAAGAAAGTGATAGGCTGTTCCTAGCAAATCAACTTCTGATTCCAAACTACCATAATACCTTCTCTTCAGCAATCATGAGTTCTCCTTCTGAGTTGTTGCTATTTGCTATTTTAGGTGATATTATAGAATAAAAATGTGTCTGTGTACAAAAAGTCTGCTTAACATTATTTTTTTAATGTCAGAATGAGTCCTTCTACTGTTTTAAAGTGCTACTTCATCTCCTTTCCTTATACTTCTCTCATAGACCTGTGATTGTTTAGCTTTGATCTTTTTACATTGTGCTTCACTATTTGCTCTGTAACTATATATTTCCTGTGAGAATGATGAGGAAAATGCCTCGGATTCTCCTATGTGGAATTGTGCAATATTGGGTGTAATGTATATGCCTTGGTACTTAGACCTTAAAATAAAAGTTTATAACTGCAAGTTGCCAAATTTCAGACTCCCTGAGGTAAATATATCCTTGGTTCGTGAGGTGCTGGAGCTGACAGAAGAGTCTGTGTGAGAAATGATCAGTAGAAAAAGTAAAAATTCATTTCCTAACTTGTGGCACGTAAAGCATCAAAAACTGAGTTACTAATAGAAGTATTACAATTGTTCGGTTCCTATCTTGCTTTTCAGATCATGTCATTTTTAGCTATGTAAAGATCAGGGTTACAGCTACTGTTGCTGGAAAGTTTGGAATATAGACTGAATAAGGTGAAAATGAGGTGACAGCTGGTAATCATTCTTCTTCAATGATGCAGTGATTGTTCATGGAGCAGTAGCAACATGAGTCTGCTAATTTCACACTCTTTGAGCCAAGTGCTTAGTGTCAAAACCAGCACCAGTCAGTAATGCAAATTGCTGTGATGGAGCAGCTTCCCAGCCTCTCAGACTCCCCCAGTAGAATTCTCTGCATATGCATTTCTTTTGAAACATTATAGATCCAGTTAATAAATGTTGAAAAGATGCAGTCCTGCTAATGCTTGAAGAAGCTTTTGAGGGAGTGAAAGAAGTTTGTTTATCTGTACTTTGATTGTCCCAGGAGTCAAAAGTAGGAAAAATACAACCATTTACCTGTCAGATTCAAGGTCTTTTGGAAGAATGTTAGAATACAGCCTGTGGAAGGGTTATGTTGAAGAGTAGTTGATTTTGAAAATACATATGAAAACAGAAGACAGGGCAAAAACTGTGTTTATTAAATCAGATATACCAGGTTTTATGTAGTGAATGAGGGAAAGACCAAAGTGTTTGTTCTGACATAAAAAAGAGTCTCTGGAAAAAAAGAAAAATAATTTTTAAAAATAAAATCACAGCAGGTATCAAGGTTGATTTTATAGACACACACATATGAAGAACTGCTAAAAGTTGAGAAACTACTAAGGATAAAACTGAAGTTTATCTCATTAGTTCATTTGTTTCGGTGTTTCTTTATAGTAGTCCATCGACTGAATGACACTCAGCATGTTTCAGCTGCAGAGAGGTGGCTGCTGGCCAGCTGTCTCTGCTGCTGCAATCGGGGTAGGATCCTTGTCTGGTCAGTAGGGGATAGTTAAGGATTGGAAGCCTGATCACTTGGGACAAGTGAAAGCTTGCCTCATCTCTGCCAGACAAGCAGACTTTCCAGTCTGATTATTAAGGGCAAAAAGTTCCTCAACCTCATGATACCTGAGCTCTGTATTTGGTTCAACACCTCAGCAGGCCCAACTTCTGTCATGCTTTCTGTAAAGTGAATGGTTATTTATTGTCATAACTCTCATTAAAAGGCAATTTTTGTTACTTCTTATTCCAGAACCTCAGTGTTTTCATTAAATCAGAAGTGTGGGATACAGGGAAAACTTGTTAATCTTCTGATCAACTTCTCTGCTCCTCAATTTATTCAGTATTTATCTTACCTTCTGATTTCTTTTTGTAATCTACAATGTTATCATGACCCTGATCCTACATCAGGTTTCCCTAGACCTTATTTTTGTGCCTGTCCTACATTCTACTGTAATATGTAACCCTGGACCCCAGTGGGAGGGCTGCTCTTCTGCTTTGAGTAATTAGTCTTCAAGCTGACTCTGGTTTTGCATGCCTTTAGTGGGCTTAAAAGCTTTTCCTGGACAGAATTTTTTTTTTTCCCCAAAAATCATATTCCTTGATCTTAGTCCCAACGTTCTTTTACATTTTGTCGCACTGTTTAAGCTGCAGTCCTCCTGGACTAATAAACAGCTCCTTTCTCTCACAACCACTCAGCCTTCTTATTCAGCAACTGCTTGTTGTATACTGAAACAATGGCACTGATACTGTGTTTACTGTCTTCATTATTCAGTCCTTTCTCCCTTTAGGTATTTCTACTTAAAATAATACTTGAAATAAAGCCTAAAAAATAAAATTAAAAATATGTGAGTTTAAGTGTATATTGCAGCACTTTTTAGTCCTTTGTCTTAAGTGCAATATGTATTGCTATGTGTGGTTTGTGCTGGAGCTTTATTACTAACTGCTCACAGGTGTCAAAAATTCAAGCAAACTCCTGTCAGATAAAACTATGGAAATAATTTTGTTATTTAGGTAGCCAAATCCAGAGATAGTCCATGGAAATAAAGGATGTAGATATCTTCAAATATTATGCACTGGAATTTTCTTTGCCATTTCATTCCACTGCATGCTTCCTACTTCGTTTAGTATTTTTAGTGATCATTTTGTTCTGCTCCTTTTTTTAGGAATGGTATAAATTCCAATCTTTATAAATTTTTTCCTGCTTATTTTAAATGTTTTGTTATGGTTGCAGTTAATTGAAAGAATAGGAGAAGACATTAATAATTTTTCTAGTTTTAATTGAATACATGTGTCCCTGGCTTGTCACCCCCTTACCCCACAATAAAAAAAGATAAAGCTTCCAATTCTGTAAAAGTCTAACTAGCTTAAATGAGGTAATTTGTGATTTTATACTATGTGTTGTAATACATTCTAAGTTAGGTTTATATTTAAATTAGATAAATTCTCATTTTGAGGCCTGTTTGTCCTTGCCTGGTCTGTGCCAAGTGGTCACTATAACAGTGAGAGTGTGAGGCCCTGTAGAGTTTCCAGCTGTTGGTAACATTGCAAACATTGGAACCACTCATGTTCTTATCCACTAATTCATTAAAAGTTGGGGACGTTCAGGTCTGCGCTACAGGGACAGGTGCCAGTCATTTCAGGCTCTGCAGAATTTTTCTGATTCATAACTATGTTTTTTAGCTTTCAGGGGATATATTGTTCGTAAAAACTACACAAGATTGAAAACCAGCACTGAGCGTGTAGCAGATCCTCAGCTTACAAGCAGCTGCTCTACTTCTGATTTTGACTGTGAAGAAGACTGGTGAGTTGAATCCTTTGCTGTCTACTCTCTAAAAAAAGCAATTTTCCAAACAATGAGATCTGAAAGGAGCAGCTATGTCATCATGATTTAGCCAGCTCTTAGAGAATCTGATATATTCTGAAGATGGGCACCTGTAGGTTAGCAGGTTCCCCCCCTCAGCTTAGTCATCTCCGTATTCTCCCAGTAGGTGGAAAGGTACTGTTTGCCCTGGGTTGCTGTCCTGTTTCTCTGCACTTTTTGTAAGTACCCAGAACACTGTAGATTGGGGACAAAATTGCAAGTGCTCACCATTGCAGAATTGACTGCAGTACGTCTTATTAAATGTCCAAGAGTAGAAAATTGCCCTTCTGTGCCTGCAAAGCACCATGCAGACCAGCAATGAGACAGGGAAAAGAGCTATCAAAACCAGATGGACAAGTCATTGACAGAAAGCCTAGGAATAGTGTAAACCATAGAGATGCTCTCCTCTTTGTAGAGAAAAGCAATGGATTTTTAGCAATGCATTCACTCCAGACAAACCTCCCCGTCCTTGGATATAAGAGGCAAAAGGGATCTGTTATGTTTGACTGACCAACAGTTTTCTAGGACAGGTGGCTGTATTTTCTGGACTAATACCTTTCATTAGCAAGTTTCAGTGGCTAAGAGTTATGAGATCTCTCCTGCTGATACCATTTTGGAGAAGTTAACTGTTACTGCTTTCTCTATGTATGCTCATAACATTGAGTTATGTTAACTTCCATGCTTACTTTGCTGCATGCTCTAGAGCATTATTATAGGATTTTGTTGAGGTGTAACCACCTGCGTTCTTGTAGGTTAATAGTGCTGCATAACCTCTCCCTTACAGTATTCTGTTTTCACTAAGAAAAAGGTTCAGGCCATTGGACAAGGGCTAAATAAATAAATGGTTTTGGTAATGATTTTCAGAGTAAAGAACAAGCCCAATACAATTTGCCATCATAGCTCTGTTGTTGAGTTGCTTGACTGCTCACTGGGGAACGAGTTTCCTGATTTATGATTACCTTCGTGCGCATGCAGCAGCTTCTGTCTCCTAAATCCTTAAGGGGTGTGGATCTTATGATCTCTTTAGAACTATTGATGATCGTGTGGTCACTTGTTCTGCAGTCTGCACTGATGGTTGAAAGAAGGAGCTAATAACCTATCTACTGTCAGTTTTCTTTGGCTTCCAGAATTATAATTATTTGCAATGTAAATAAACATTTTCGTCTGGACTTGTTAGGAGGCACACAGTCTCTTTAAACATTTTTCTTCATTTATTTCATGTTAGTTAGTCAGGAATGTTTTTCTTCCATTTTTGCATCAAACTGTCTCTGGAATTCCTTGTTATTTCCCAAATATATTTTTCTGGATAAGGTACAACTTGCTTAATTGTACATCTTTTGATGTACCCTTCTGCATAAAGTCAAATAGGCAACAGAGAAGGGAGGAGTGCGATGAGGTCTCCTTTCACTAGGAGAGCGCAGACATCAGCCTCACTTGATGTCTGCCTCCATTTTACAATTGATCATCACATGAAATCAAAGATGCTGCATTTTGCAATGGCATAACTAAAATTCCAAGTTAGTATTAGGGATCTTTCAAGCTTATTAGGAATAATTTCTGAAGAAGGGAGAAGTAATTTTCTAGAATATCATGTGATTTTGAACTTGTAGATTGGCAGATCTCTAGTGAATATATTTTTCATAAATGTTCTTAGCAGGATAATCTACAGTTCAGTGCCTAATGACCTTAATCTATGCTACCTTGTTCATGTTCTTGTTCAGACAGATCTGTCATTCTCAAGTATCTTTAAATCCCTCTGGAATCTTGTCAAAGTATCTGCAACCTGTGTGTTCCACTACCATCATCTTTTCCATTTCCCTCCCAAATGAAAATTCTGTTAAATAATACTGATCTGATACTTACCCTGGAAAATACTTCCTGTATTGTTCATTTTTTTCCTCTAGCTCACTGACTACTAAATATCAAAATATGTTAGCTATATGTACATGATCGGTGCCTTTACAGTGTGTGGTATAGCAGAAAGCATTGTTTCCACATAGTGACTTTGTTACACATCAGTTATGTCTGTAACTGTAACTGTATGTCAGTGAGTATCCCTTGCTCCTTGGTTTCCTTTGGAGCTCTGTATGTTAAGGGCTTATGTTAGAAGATACCTGACATCAACAGCAGTTCACACCCTTGAGCTGAGTTCACTGATTTTATTCCTACATCTTTCTCTTTTTAGCTATTTGGTCAGCATAGGTTCTCAGAAATCATTCTTGTTAGAAAATTCTTAGCATTCACATGAACGTTAGGTAATCAAGATTGTATAATAGATCCTGAACAAAACTACACAGGCACACCAACTTAGGTGTTTGGAAAGTTATAGACAAAGAATTATTATCAGCAGTTCTCTGTTCTGCAGGAAGTATGCATCTGAAAGTCAAGTTCCAGAAATGGGTCTGTTTCTACTCATTAATGGCTTGACTGATGAAGCAGAATCTGATTACTAAATTTGTATCAGTACTAAGTGAGTGATGGTACAGGGTTTAAGAGGGTAGGATTTGAATTAGAAACACAGTTACATGAATAGTAATGAACCACAAAATGAATGTCAGTCACTAATGGCACCGTTCTCCGAAGTTTACATTGGGTACTAGCAGTGAGGATACACACTACCTCATGTGTGCATCATAACATTATCTCATTTCTGTCAAGACCTTGGTTAGGATAGTGTATCAGAAACTCCACTTAAAGAAAATGAGAAAGTTGCTTGGCAACCAAAATGTCTCTATAAACCATAGTAAGGTAAGATCTAAAAGGGAGATGGAAAACTAGGGGTCATGTGGTATCATTTCTCCAATCATGAAAGGCTGATGTGAAGAGAAAAGGAACAAACCGTTCTCTGTTGAGAATCAGGTAATTGAGAAATAATGGGCTTGCATTGCAGCACAAGAATGTTAGGTTAGATGTCAAGAAAAGCTTACTAATGGTAAACTGAGTGAAACTCTCTGTAGGTTACCTTGAGAAGTTTTGACATCTCCTTCACCATAGGTTTTAAAAAGCTTAAACAAACATGATCAAGAAAAAAAAAAGAGTAGGTGATTTTTCTTTTAGAATGGGGGTGGCTGAAATGGTTTGCCAAGGTTCTTTTTATTATTTGTAAATACAGAGCCACTTCTTGAACTATGACATCTCTGTGCCAGTGGGTTTGGCATTGCAAGCCAACCACTTTTATAGCATCGTAGTGTCACCAGCTGTTGCTGCGTCAGTGTGGGAAGTGAGTATAAAAATAGTTCTAGAGGAATTCTCCATGGGTCAGCTTTACTTGCATCAATATTATTACTGTGCCTGAAAAACGAACAATGTCCATTTCTGAATGGTTTGCTACACCTGGCCCATTGAAATAGCATGCAATGTGGATTTACCTGCATGGGCACTGGTGGATTAGCACATAAACATAATATCCTGTATATCACAGACAGCAGAGATTAAACACAATTTCAGTCACAGGAGCACAGATCCATTCAGAAACTGGTTTAATGTGAATTCACCTGTTCCATATAAAAACCCTTCTCTCTTTTGCTATGCTTTCTTTAACTTGATCTGCAGCTTGCCTCTCACTAAAGTGGGATTCAGTCTGTCAGTCAATAACAAAACCTTCCTTGGATTCTTTTGTTTAGAAGAAAAAGAAAAAAAATTACTATGTTGGTGTGCTTCTATTCTTCAAGGAGGGCTGATTGAAAGGGTCATATCTCCACATTTGAAAACTTTTTTTTTTTCAGAATCTTCAGAAGAATGCCATCAGGTTCTGTTGATTTATTCCTTACACCTTTTCAGATTGTTCCATATTTCCTCCTTGGAGAATTTCAGTTTCTGTCAAGACCACACTGTGATTTCTTGTATAAGTCATCTTTTGAATATGAATTTTCATTTCATTCCACAAGAAAAGGTAGCATAAAGACATTCTGGTTTCCTTTAATTGCTTCCCTTTCCTATTTTTAATCATAGCAAACATTAAGGTTATTGCTTGTGGTGGAAATAGGAAGGCTGAAATCCCTGTGGCATGCAGTGGAACACAGTGGGCCTGATTCTGATGTCATATGACCTTCTAATTATTTTACAATTCATAAGTTCAAATAATTACTCAAGATTTTTAAAGGTGTAAATGTAAATATGGGCACAATTTTCCAGTGTCATCTGGGTTTTTTTCCTCCTTCCCATCCCTTTGGAATTTTTAATCTACCCATCCTGGAAGGATTAAATTGGTTCTATTCTTTAATATATTACTTCTGCAAAATGAGCTGTATTATTTCTAGTAGAATATCTAGGAGTTTTTCTAACATTTTTTAAAGCATTTAAATAATGAAAGTCCAAATTCCCTTACTTACACTCATAATGGCCAGAATAATTCCAAAACTAGATGTATTTTCTCCAGCATAAATTAATCTCTGTTACTAGTTTTATGCTGCAATGGTTCAACTGCTTTTCAAGCGCTAAAGACAGTAAGGCTATATACTATACAGATGTGCAGACAGACCTTAGGAATCAGTGTTTCTCCAATGTTTCTTGCTCATTCAGTGATTTATAGACAGTCTGTATGTGAAGAGGCATATTATAGCTCAGTAGCTGAACGGTCAGCAGCAAACTGTTGAATTACTTACTGAAACCAGGCACATGCGCTTGATCTCTTGCATCCTGCCTAGGTAAGTGTGCTGACTGGATCTCGTCTGTCTGACCCAAATACTGCTTTCCTGCAAATGTGGAAAATAAAAGTCCCTGGAAACTATAGGACAAACAGTTTCTTCAAAGACGCATGAAAATACCCTGCCTCAGATACCGCATTTGAAAATGTTAGGTGTCATCACTGATTGACTTAGATTAATTAACTATTGCTGAGCTACCCTCCTGTTGTCAAGCGTTGAAATGGGCTGCCCAGGGAAGTGGTACAGTCACTATCCCTGGAAGTGTGCAAGAAATGACTGGACTTGGAACTTAGTGCTGTGGTTAATTAACAAGGTGGTGTTCGGTCAAAGGCTGGACTCTTGGAGGTCTTTTTCAACCTTAGTGATTCTATGATTCTGTGGCTGCATTTTCCATGTGGCATACTAGCCAAATTTTCAGAACAGCTAAGCAACTGATTTCGAGGTGCTCAGCATTTGCAGTTGATACTGTGTTTTCAGATGTGTTCCCTACCAGTTTGACATTGTGGTGGGTTGACCTTGGCTGGCTACCAGGTCCCTACCAAGCCATTCTGTTGTTCCTCCTTCTTAACAGGACAGGGGAAGAAAAATGCAGTGAAAAGCTCATGAGTTGCAGCTAGAAATCAAGTACATACTTACATTAGAAACAGTATATTCTGTGGAAGGATGGGCTATCTTGCAGCGAATACAACCCAACTTAGGGTTGTTAAATCAGAAACACAGCATCACAGGGATCCTGAAAAACAGTCAGGGTCTAAGGGCTTCAGAATTCCAGAGGCTGATTTTTGCTAGCTTAAGCTGGACAGAAGGCAAATTGATGATCTTTACCTTCATGCTTTAAACATTTATACAGGGTTCTAGCCCTGGCAAAGTTCTGGATTTTTTTTAAATAGAAGATAAAGATTATTTCAAGCTGCAAATTTAGATCCAGATCCAAACCACCCCAAAATCTCAATATTTAAATTTATATGATGATTCAGTCTGGTTTAGGCGTTGTAGGCCATTTGCAACATACTGATCCAATAGCAGATTTTGATTTTGACATCCAACACAGTAATATTTGAGGATTATTTATAAATTTTAGCTTGTATTGAGTTTATTTTCTGCAATATTGGGGAATGGGAGAATGCATCATCTTAACAAATGCTTAAGGGAATTTTGGGGAAAAGGAGAAAGTTATGTAACTCACCCCACTAGATAAATGATTATCTAAGTAATATATATACAAGATAAATAGTAATAGAGAACTTTACAGATAATACAGTATATGCCTAAATGCAGTATCAAATACAGTCCTAGACATGTTATAATTTCCAGTTCAATAAGTGTGCCAGTACTAAATGACAATGCATATTCAAAATTGATCCCTTAATTTCCTCCAAGGAAAACACAGATTCAAATTACAGTTTAGGTAGAATGTTTTCCTTGTCTTCCTTAGTGTCAAAGAATAAAGGGGAATTTAAATTCCCCTAACCTGACAAGCAAATCTAAAGTTCGGTCATGAAATTGCAACATTATGGAAAAGTTGAATGTTTACCGTAATCGTGAAAGCTTCATTCTGTTTTGACAATCAGAAAGTTTTGCTTTTAATCCCAGTTTTAGGACCATGGGCATACCAAATAATATCTATGAACCTCATTCTTTTTTATCCATTAAATGAAATCGGTAGCATCTTTTTTGGTATTGCATAGCTGAAGATTCGGAAGCAAGTTCTGTCTGGGTGGACTGTTGAAGAGATCCATGGACTTCAAAGGCCTGCCAACAAGGATTGGGGCCTACAGAAGGTTTTTATGTTACTTTAATCAGCATTAATGAGAGTAGGAGTTGGCCTTTAATATTCTTATGGTGACATAATGTGATGATAAATAGTAACAGATATAGGCAAAGAATCTAAGACATCTTACTTCTTGCTCTGTGCCTAAACCAAATGGTTTTAGGAGAACACATGTTTCACTTCTTCCTCGTATGTCAAATTTTGAGTGTCTAAGTTTGAATACTGTGAAAACAGCTTTTCACAGCCCTGGGAAAAAAGTTTCATGTAAAATCGTATCAAATTAATCTTAATACACGACTTCAATTTCATAGAATTCTCATAAAATCATTTTACCCATATACACAGATCCACAAAGTTTTAATGACAAATTCATTTCTCATAGCCTGTTACTGTGTTTAATAACATGCACTTCCTTATAAGAGGAAATGGGACTGATCTGTGTTTTTTCTGAATCGACTGTATGTGCATATTTAGAAATTGAGGGAGGGAGAAAAGAGAAAATTAACAAAACAGTGTATGCCAGTAAACCATTTGTGAGTGAATAAATTACAATATTCAAACTACGTATTTTATTTTTCTTTGCTTTTAGGCAGCAAACCAAAAACCGGTCTTCTCCCATGGTGCCTGATTTTCCTGACAAACAAACAAAAAAGGTACTACTAAGTTTATATTCTAAAACAACATCATATTATAACTTCAAATTCCTGAGTCCACAGTTCTGCAGTGTTCGTGGCTGCTTGGCATAGCCATCTGAACATGAAACCGTTAGTGATGTTTTGAAGTCTTTGAGACAAAAGCCTGCTTGCTAAGAACTTTAGTTCTGTAGAGAGACAGGGAGGTACAGTGAATAAGAGAATCAAAAGGCTGGAAATTTGCTGCTGAGAATAAATGCTAGCTGCTCCCTGAGGTGATTTGTCTGTGCACTTCACTTTCTACAGATGTTAGAGACTCTTTTTTAGTAAGGACCTGAGGTTCTTTGGTAGCACTTTGATATCCTGCTCGAATTCAATATGTGAAATGGAGGAGTCGCTCTGTGACTTGGAGCACAGCACAGTCTTTGAAGTCTGATCCAATTTTTGCTGCTTACCATTTGATGTTGAAAGGATGAAATGGAGAAAATGTACAGTTTTTGCCAGTAACTCTGCTGAGCATATGTAAGATTAAAAAAACAAAATCCCTTGGATGATGTACTTAGAAATGTTAAGCAGATTAATACCTTCCTATAGCTTTTTTCTAAAGATACAAATTAACTATGAGAGGAAATCAGCATACAGTGCATGCTATGATTTAACTGCGTGAGGAAAAGGGATAAATAAGTTAAATGGAAAAAAGTAAACAAATGTTTGTGACATGGGTGCTAAGTCGGTGTTGCTGAAAGCCACAAGAATCTTGTGTAACTTAAATCTAGCATTAGACATTTCACAGTGTCATAGAAAATAACAAGTTGCTCTCTATGAGATCACAACTGTAAATTGTCATGGCAGAGTGAAATCAATACATTTCTTATGTGCCTACACCAGCATTCTTTATTCCAGAATGATTTGGATGAGATTTCTGCTTCTCCAGTTATTCTGAAACATTCATTCGAAGTAAATGATTCACAATCAATTAGCCAATCCGAGGCAGTTGCAGACCATCGGTTGTCAAGCCTCTTGAGATCTCGTAAAAAAGGAGGTAAGAAATATAGTAAAGTAGCTGCAATATTGTTTAATGTTTATAAGCTACATGTTGTCAGCATGTAGCTTGCTTTATATATTGATGAGGTCTTTTAACCCCTTGAAGGGCAGGAAATATAAAGAAAAAAACTTTTTTCTACACATTTTCAACCCAGAAATATAAAAAAACCCTTAAGTGTCTGAATTACAGACACAAAAATATAATGATTTTTAAAATACAGCTTCTACTAAAAGTGTCCTTATTAATCTCAAAATACCCTTTTAATGAAATCAAATCTACTTTCAAGACCTTCAACTTTCCTTTGCCTTCCAACCTCAGAAGTCGAAGACAGTAATGAAATCTCTCATATTTGGCAGAATGAAAAACAACTCGTTTGTTCACACACACAAAGATTCAGTCAGCAACACAGACCATCTGCAATAATTCTACAATCTATGCAGTGTAGATTTTTATTTTGTTTGCTGTTACGTTATTTTTGCCATGCTCAATAAGAAGTGAAACTTTTTGACATTTTTTGAGTTTTACCTGGTTTATCTTTGAATATTTCAGGAAGTCATTACCTATCAGAATACTTTTCTCTGTTACTGTAATCCTTGTGTCTTTGCAAATTCATGAATACAGACTTTGTTACTGTATTATAGAATACATTCCCCAATTTAGGATGAAGTAGGTTGATAATGTGATATCTGTAACTAGAGCCAAAATGTATATGATAATACATTAATTTCCAGGTTAATACTAAAAATTAGTTGTTTGTAATGCTGTGCTATACATTGACATTTCTGCTTATTTATTTAATGGGACACCTTTCAACTTGTAAATCTGTAAATATTTATCTGAATAATTAAGCCCTTGTCCTGAAATTTATGTGTTTAAATTTTACAGAGTTCAGTTAAACAATTTACAATGTAAAGGTAAGAAGATAGATATTTATAGGGAGATCCTTCCGTTACAGGAAATAATGCGAATTCAATGTTTTTAGTCTTTTATACAGGCATTAGGTGGCTTCCATGCTAAAACCAGAATAGTATGTAAACACAGCAGATTGAGCACATTATTCTCTCTTCATGCATTTCTGTCCATATGGGTTTTGAATCCATAGTGTGGGACTGCAGGGGAAGTTTGCATCGCTATCTTAAGTTATTGCATGTTAAGCAATAAACCTGTCAAACAGAAATATCTTCATTGCACCAAATCCTCTTGAGGGAAGCAGTCAGGGCCCAAATCTATCATCCTTACTCTCACTGGATATTGTATGTTACTCTGCAACTGATCTCCTTGAAATGAAAGACCTCGTGTCTGAGGTAAAACAATTAGAGTAACACTGGCAGAATTCCACCCTTAGCAAACATATTATTCAGAGCCATTACACAGTAATTTAGAGAGACTTCAAAAAATGTGAAGTGACAGAAGAATAGAATTTGAAGAGGAGATTAGGGCAACATTGATCTGAACTATTGAAGAAACATCTATCTTTAGATGAGTAAGCATGCAAATGTAGAGAAGTAAGGAATTTCCTAGATGAACATGAAAATATTCAGATCGATGATCATAGAAATCACACTTCAGTGAGTAACTATTAAGAAGGTAAACCTGCTGCAGAATAACTTCCTTGGGTGCTTTTAAAAGCACTGCATGCATTCACAAATGCAGATGCTTTCACATGATGCTCAGTCTGCATTCAGTCTTAATGTATGAAGTATACTTTTAAGAAGATAATATTCTTACACCTATTGTGAAAGCTAAGTGAAATAACAAATACCTTTTCGGAATAAGAAAATGTATAAAATACACATGCTTCATAATGTGGAGCGATACTACCTGAGCTGTTATTCACACAAAAAAAGCTGCCCACTAGGTAGTCCAAACAATGTAAAGACTGTCATTTTTCATAGCGAAACATTATTCTGCAATGCTAGAGATTGATTTTTAGTTCTCTTTAAGTTACATTACAAGCAGAACTAGTCTATCAACCTGGTGGTAGTGCTTGGACCTGGAACACAGAGACCAATGGGGAAGGGAATGTGACAGGTTGCTGCACTGGCCCATGACCCAGTTATGAAGCAGCATTGGTGTTTGCTGAAGGAGGGAGTCTGCAGGCAGGCTTAAGCACAAAGGGAAGGACAGGCTGCTTATTTGTCTTGTGGCCTTGGTAGGTGAGGCTCTAGTGTAGTCAAGGGGGACAGAACAGAAAAGGGAAAAAACGGTTGATATGAATTTACGTTTTTTTGTATTTATCAAGCAGACTATTCACTCACATCTTGTTATCCAGCTGTGTAATGGCACAGGCTGCCTGTTCTCAGTAGTAGATTGGCAAAGGAAAAATAGACAAGGAAATTTTCAGAAAGATCATGCAAAGACTATACTCCATAATTATTAATACAGAAACAAAAGCCTCTTTTTCACTTCAAAAGCCTTTACACTGGGTCATACTAAAACTGAGCAGTGTGGCCAAACTGCATGCAGAGCAAGTTAAGTGCATGCATGTCCTATGGTTGTATAGAGTCACAGGGGCTGGCTTTACACTGCCTGGACATTCCCATGGGCTCTGCCAGAGGAGTGGGGCAAGACTAGTAACAATGCTAAGAATTCACTCTAGTGTCTCCACTGTGACACGTTGCCTGGGCAGAGAGGAGAGTCCAGTCATAAGAAACAATTAAGCCAGAAGTTAATTATTCTAGTCACAATAAAGTAGTACTGAAGGAATCAAAATAGTATAATCTCCAGAGGCCAAGTAGAGGTATTCCCTTAGACAAGATAGATAGTGAGACTGTTTGAAATTATTAACGAAAAGTGAGTGCTTCATAGGGAATTGACCAATGTAACTTTCCTTCAAAGGCAGATGTGACAGATTTTCTGAGATGCTTTCCTTTGCAAAAGGAAAGCTAATAGTATCTCTGCACTGACCAGGGGATGACGTAATTTTTTATGCTTAACATAGACATTTTAAATAACTGAAAAAATGCACAAAGAGTCTCTGGCTATGGACATTCTCTTTTGGGAGAACAGTATTTCTTCTGAATATGTTCAGTTCATGCCTTGTGCCTCACAATGTTGCCTGCAATGCTGAAATTTTGTGAGAGGTAGAGAAAATTGTCAGGATTCTGTGAGATCTGGAAGTATGCAATCTATGGTGTCTATAGCCACAATCTGAGGCTGAAGTAGTGAATAGTCCATTTCAATATAGCCTTTGATTTTAGATTCTTTAATCTTTATATTTCAAAACTAGTGGAAATTAGGGCCTGACAAGGCCTGGAGTCCCATTACTGACCCATTTTGAATGTTTTCCTTGTAATATGTATTTTTATTTTTGTGTTATTCATTTTTCTCTTTATTTCTGATAAACCAATCATATAATGGGATTTGATGAATGTACCTGTGTTGGGTTTGGAGAAACATATGAGGTAGTCACTGTTTTTTGCACTGATGGAAGACAAGTAGATAATGAAGTATATCAAGTTAGTGCTTGATGGGGAGGAAGGCTGCTGCTCAGCTGAGAAAGTACTGTGGACAAGTTTTAGTAGGCGCATGGTGGGCATGGAAGACATTATTCCCAAAGTGTTGCTCTGTGATTGTCATCACACAGATGATATTTATAGATTCATCACCCTAAACGGGAAATATAAAATAACGATGACTTCATTAATTGTTAGGACTTAACTCCAGTTTTAAGGAAGTGATCCAACTTTAATTCTATCAGGACCATAATCGTATTAAAATACCCAAGTCCCAGAGAATAGATGGCTTGGGTGTTTTGTCTTTGCTTCAGAGTACGGTTTTCTTTGAGTCAGTCTTTGTTATTGAAAATACTTTAAACTGTCTCAGTCTCAGCCCTGGAGTACAATCTTGATTTGATGTCTTGCAATTGCAGATGAAAGGTACTTAAATATAGAGAACCATCTTACATTACATTGTAGTTTAACATTGTAGTAGAGTTCTAACTCTGATCTCATTAATTTCTAGTTTTACATTGTTTTACAAAAGGTAACAGCTATGGCAAAGCCACAATCATTAGTGACTTGGAAATGAGGGCACTTTTTATCCTTGGATTTGCAGAAAGCCAATCTCCCAACATGACTGTAATAAGTATTTTAGTAAAGAACAGATATTATGTCACACAAAATGTGGTATCAAGATCTGGATGCCGTGTAACAAAAGATGCCACTTCATTTTCTGCAAGTAGAGAGAGATCCATCTAAGCTATTCAGCTGTTTGTGTAACTCAGCTTCCTGTTTGATTCTGTTATAGCAAATCTTCCTTTCTAAATGAAAAACAAAACATAATGTAGTGTGAAATACTGCATAGACTTTCAACTAGTAGCCCTTGTCAGATGGGATGATACTGACACGTGAATGCCATGAATTTCAGAATCCTGTCATTCAGGAATATAAGTGAAAGAATTTGTAATCTATTTAGAATTATTTTTAGTTGTTTAATCAGGAGTTTAATTTTTTAAGCCCCCCACTGAGACTAATTTTATATTGAAGGAATGTAAATCATGAAAAACTTGACTGTAGTCAGTAAAATCATAACAGTGAATAGAATTGGGTCTCAGTTGTAAAAAACTGACATGAAAAATTTTCTGCATATCTGGGTTTTAAAGAATTTTTGGGCAGAAGATTTGGTTTGGTTTGGGAAGATTTTTTGAGTGGGTCGGATTTGAGTTTGTCATTCTTTTTCAAATAAAATAACATGATTATGGGACAGTCTGACTGTTACAGGAAACTCTAAAAAGACCAAGAGAGTGTGACATAATATGATCTGATTGCACTGAGCATGCTGTACCTATGTGTGAGGCCTCTGAGATCTCCACAGTATTGTCCTACTACATACCACGCTATAACAGAGGAATTACTATTAGCCATGTTGCAGTCGAAGCGTCTGGCAGAGGAGTTGCTGATGTGGTATGTTGTATAATGAATTTCCAATTCAAAGATCCTGCTACAGTAGTGTTCTGTGGCTTTTGAACCAAAATCTGACTGGGTATACGCAGGAGA